CTAGCTTCTTTCAGCATTCTCTGCTTGATGAGTTCCTGATAGGAAACAGGGAAACTATTTTCTTCTAACTGTTCTACAACTACTCTCCACAAGGCAAGACAGTGAAAATCACTTCTAAGACAACTTTGATTCCAAAATGTTATCTGTCTTTTGATTTATAAGCAAGCCTTTACCTCTTCTTTGAACCTGCTTATGATGCAGTTGGGTCAGCTTTACCTCCCTGGCTTCTGTACCCCGTATTACAGCATGGGTGCTGGATAGCTTTGACAGACAGAGCAAGTTCATTTGTCTGCTCTTTAAAAGGAAGATTTATTTCACAAAGTGGATCAGATCAGATGCCTAGTTGACAGGTAGATGCCTACTTTCAGTTAAGACACACCTGATCAATACTTTAATTTTTACAGCTAAGGACCTGTTAGTTGTGTCAAAGCTTTCTTAGCAGCAATATTCCCTCTGTCCTCAGTGATTTTAAGCATTTCATTTTTTCCTAGTCTACTACTGACTGGTAGGTGTTTTTAGAGGTCTTACGTAGGGTCATTGCCCCCATATGAGGGATCATGTTATCCCCTTTGGGCTTTAAATCAGATTTTGTCTTACATGTAAAAATTCCTTTGAACAATTGCAGTTGTGTTTGAGTCCATCTGACTGACCCCTCTAATGATATATTAGGAATAAGGTGACCTATCCCTAATATGAAGGTGATCTGAATTCCATTTAAGTCAAATATTAGCTTGCCAGTGACTTTGCTTAAGCTGTATGCATCTTAGTTTGGAGATTCTCTCTGTGTGTTGGATATAAGGGTTCTGGTATCTTTGGCTCTGACCTCTGACAAATTGGCCAAGAGACATCCCCTTTTGTCAGCTGAGGCTTATTTTGAAATACCAGTGACTGCACACATTCAAACACTTCAAGCAGGAAGGCATGTTACTTACCTATTAGTGTGCAGATGTTTTGTTTATATGTACACTCAAAACTTGCCCTTGTAACCAACTTCCTTAGGGTCCTTATGCATTTGAGAATCCTTGATAGAGAGCAACCCAGGAATAAATCACTTCTATTAGATGTGTAGAAAGCATGCAGATGGGGAAGAATGCATTCAGACACTGCCTGACTAAAAAATCTATGCCTGACACTGCTAGCATACAGATCTGTGTGATCATTATCCAAATGCAGTCAGATGTTCTAGAAGAAAAATTATAAAATATTAATATATTGACAAACTGGGTGGGGGGGACAAACAAAAGAATTTGAAAAGGACAGAGAAGAGACTATCTAACAATTTGATTTTAAAAATATTTGGTTTTGGTTTGGGTGGGGGGTTTTTTTGTATTTTTTATTGATGTAAACTTGTGTTGTGTCCTGACAGCTAGCTCTTGATATGTGGAGAAAATTAATGATTGAGCCACTGCAGGCCATCCTTATTCGGATGCTCCTCCGAGAAATAAAAAAGTGAGTGCTTGATTATTTTTTGCTTTTACACAATGTGGGGGTATGGCACTTTTTTACTTTGAAAAGTCTGGGGACTTTGACCAAATTCTTTTATGTTTATTTTGAAGGCGGCTTCTTACCTGATGATAATGTTCCATCAGTTTTTCTCATTGTAGCTACATATTTGTGGCTTGCATGTGTAGAAAAAGACTCTGAAAAGAAAGAAGTTAATTCACTGTAACCCGAGGGTAGTGATCTCTTCTGTTTCAGCAACTCTTATCAGTGGGATTGGGGAGCAGTTAGGATAATTCTCCAGGTCCCAGGATGCCTTTCTCCTTTTTCTCCAGCTGATGCTGACTGCTTATGGCTTCTGTGCTGTCAGTAAACCTAAGGACCCGGACTTAGGCAAGGATTTGCCGAAGCCGGGAAATCTATATTGCTTTGCATGGGACCCAAAACAGTTGTTGCTTATCTGCCAGGAAGACTAAGCTTCTGGGTTTCTGTTGTTCAGATGAATGGCTTCATTTAACATTCTTGGTGCTTTACTTGAATGAAATGCAAATAATTGGTTTTTTTTCACTTTGAGGGAATTTATTATTTTATTTCTGAATATCTTGGTTACTTTTAAACAAAGACCCTGGTAGTTACAGGGCTTGGGGCTTTTTAAGTTTTGATTTAAAACCTTTATACTATTTAATTTCTAAAGGATCTTTTTATTTATGAATAAACAGAAATTTTGAAATGTACTGCAGACCTTGTGTGTAGTTGTAAGTTCCATCAGTTTCTACACTTTTACTACTAGCTCTGGAATTGCCTAATGGGTGGGATTTTTTTAAGTGATTGCATGCCTGACTCAGGTCACCAGGCTAGTGTAGGTAAACTGAAAGCTTGAGGTAATTTGGCTGATTGAGGTGCCTTGGACATGCATTTGGTCAGACAAAAACCTGTATTTATAAGGCATTAAAAAACTGATTTTAATATTATCATTTTATTTTTCCTTCTTGAAATAAATTTTTGACAACGAAGTAACTGACATGTTGTCCCTCTCAGATGGTATTTCTGAAGCCAGGAAGTATTTATTTGCTTTATGTTGTTGAACCATGCTTCCTTTGTAATCAGCATTAATACTGCTTTATCCATATGTTTACTATAACAATTTATTTTTACTAAATGAAGATTCCCTAATTCATGGTGAAGAAAATTCTGCTTTGTTACATCAAGCACAGTGACATTGAAGACTCGTTTTAGTCAATCTGTGTATTTCACTGGTGGGTGGGAGTGGAAATCTGTGTTAAAACCTTTCTCAACAGACATCTGATGTCTCTTAAAAGTCATGGTATGTATTTAACTTGAGGCTGACTGCAGACCTCACAAAGGTATTTAGATCAAACTGTCACTGGCTCAGTGGGGCGTTAGATATTGAGACTAACAAGTTGATGTAATTTGTTATTAAACCATTTGGAAAGTTTTAAATAAAACTGGAGTCATTGTCTCTAATGTTGGGTCTGGATTTTTTTCCCCCTCCATTGTTAAGGATTCTTCTGTGTGATCTCAAAGAAGTTAATTCAACTCTGTTTCTCAAAATACACGTCTAACAACTTGTATTAAGTTTGTTCTAGCCACTTTGTGATCTGCATATCATGTAATAAACTATAGAAGAGAGAACTTACAGCTGTTCTTCCTGGTATCTTGAAATGTAGGGCTTGCCATGGGTGTTCTGAGGATGACCTTTGCATGTAACTATAGACTTGTTGTTATTCTTTGCTACAATTCCACTGGTCAATACAGTTTGTAAGAGGCAATTTTAAAGACTTTGCTGCAAACGTCTGTTAAATGTCTTTTAGTGTTGAGTTTAGCAATTCAGAAATGAAACAATGTCTTTGAAGAAATGGATATCAGTAAGTTACATCTATCGGAGGTGCAAGAATATACATGGGAAGATTATTACCTAAAAAATTTAATACAATTACTAATACATATATAGACTTAGAAACCTCTCCATTAGATGCCTACTTAAGTGTATGTATGGTTCAATTTATTAAAATGTTTTACAAAAAAATTAAAACTTCAATAGATGGGACAGTAGAACTTCCTATAACCAGAAGATTTTGCATCATGTACAACGATATGTGGAGTTGATAACCAACATTGTAGTCAACTGGTTGTATATAGAAGTATGTTTATTACTGTGCTGGAAAAGGTAGGGGGAACAGAGCCACAAATTTTGCTTTCACGTTTTATTTTATCAGTGTATTTAACTAGAATCTTAAAAAGACTTCTGACTAAAATCTTGAGCATGTCTGCTTTTTAGAAGCTATAAACTTGTGCAATACATTAGACATTAAAATTAACAATAAACTTTTTCGGCATATGAAAACAAAGAAATACAGGTAGTGACTTGTGGTTCAGCTGAACAAGATGGCTAAACTGATCTGAGTTTGCTGATGACAAAGTGGAGCAGGCTGTGCTCTACTGCCTTTCTTGTGCCGAATTTGGTGCTCATCTAGTCCCTTAGTGAACCAGCTCAAATGCTAATATGGCAGAAAACAATCTTGGCTAATATTTCTCCAGATTGGCATGATGAGTCAGGTCAGCAAAGAATTAGGTGAGTGTCAAAGCAATGCAAGATAGATAGAGGCCTGTAACTGAGCAAAAGGGAGCAGGATTAGCCCCCTTGAACAGCAGAGAATTGTTAAATCACTTAAGCCTGTCTTGTCTGACTGCACTCCTCTTAATATAGAGTTCTGAATATAACACACTTTCTTCCCCCTCCCTCTAGCCCAAGCACTCCTCCTACAAGGAAAGCTGAATATCAACTTACGCATTTTTGTTTCAACACAACAGGAAGCCGACAAGATCTCGAATTGTGAGAAAATTCATCTATGAAATTCTTAAACAGAAATAATTTGGAAATTATTCAGGTGCTATCTCAAATGAAAGTGTGATTAGTACAGACTAACCAAGAGAGGCTTCTCTACTAACGATAACTAACGCTTTCTAACTAACTGAACCTATTCCTGTCTAAGCTGATACATTATTTATACCATTTATTTGAAAGGAAAGCTATTGGAAGTTGTTAACTTTTTTAAAAGTGTTCGAAACAGGCTTTTCTAGTTCACAGTGAATTCTGTAGTTAATCCGTCTCAATAGTCCATTGGTCTGACACAGCAGAGCATTTCTTTTGAATGACAGAATCTTCTTTTAATGAATACGGTATTATTGCACCTTAAACTTTAAATATGTTCTGTGGGGCTATAGTAGTACACTGTACAATACATTTCAAACTTCTACTGTTAGCTTTAGTCTTAAGATAGGAACAAGATGGAGTTAATATAAAACAGCACAATGTCCTTGAACTTGTGTTTTGTAGTTTTCTCCATTTCTTTTGGAAAAAAAAACTCATTGGCATTCAGATTAGTGGAACTTGTGTTCCTAGCACTTTATCTTCTTGTCCAGATGCCCCACCAAAGATCATCATTCCTTCCTACCCTCCAAAGATGTCCTGTGACATCCCCGCGTCAAACTGTGCAGCAGCTGCTCTGTAGCTGTATGCGTCCATATAGCTTGCTGACTACTGCCAGGAAGGAAAATATACACTTAATAGACTTCCACCTTGGTGGGGTCACCAATTTCTCTCATTTTAGCTTGGCGGATGCTCTTACTACTACAACTTTCATGAAAATCATCCTTGAAACTTCTGTCAAATTTTGTTGAAACTAGCCATTTGTGTTACAAATTCTTGGGAGCAGAGTGCCATTGGTGTAAATAAAAACGTAAAGATGCTGCCAAAGTGGAAAGAATGATAGTTTTGTGACATATGCTATTTATCTTGGAAATAGTGTAGCTTTTCAGATGGGTTTGTGATGAAGTTCATAACACAGTTCTGTCAATAAATTTCATGACAGCTTTGCTGTGAATGTATAATACTCACCCACTGAGGAAGCCTATGTTAAGATACTAAAAATTCTGCAAGTGGGGGGGGGGAATGGGGAGTGTGGACATCTGTTTAAAAAAAAAAAAAAACTTACATGATCCTGGCAGTTGTTCCAAACTTGTCATTTGATGGGTAACCGCATCCTCACTACCTCCATATTCAGAGGTGGATTTAAACTCTTTCTCTTTGTTGTGTACCACCAGCTACCCAAAAGGCAGGCAAGGCCGGTTCCATGTTGTGTTCCTTTTCGTCTATCGCCTTCATGCCATCTGGCCTCTGCTTCGAAAGCCTGTCTCCTCCCTTGCAGCTCTTCCATGGAGCATCTGCCTCCTGTACTTATACAGCTTTTTCCTAATGATACGCTGACCTTCAAATCCCCTGGGCCTGACCTTTGCTTCCCCCTCTCCTCCAGCATCTGTGTGGGCTAAGGTCTGTGAAGTGGCCTGTGAACCGACAGAGGGGAGCCGGGTCTTCGTCTGTTATTACAGCAATGCTTCTTGTGTTTGTGTCACCAGTATCTTTCCAGGTCCAGAACCCCACGTGCTAGAGGCGGACTGGGCTGTCTCTTGACACAGTCCTGCTTTGTAACATGGTTAACTTTTGGTTATGCAGTTTCCTTCACTCCATGATGTTGTGCTGTGCGCACAGGCTGCGTGTGTCCTGCAGCTTAGTGTGCTTCTGGGCCCCTCCAGGATGGAGCTGGGTCCAGGACCCGGTCTGGTGTTACACCTCTTCCCTTCAGTGATGTGCTGCTGCCTCTGCCATCGTAACCAGACCTAGCAGAGAGACATGGGCAAGAATGCAGGGTGTGATTGCATTCTAACCCTAAACCCAAATTTATTCCATTGGTTCAGCTATCAGAACCAGAGGAAACCTCGCTGTCCCCCAGGGGGAAAAAAACAGACCATCACTGCTGGAGCAGTTATCTATTAGGTCAGCTCATTTGTAATGGGCGACCAAGCTGTATAAACCATACAGTGACTGCTCGTAATCTGTTAGAGAGCTAGTTCTTTCCACCCATCATGAGCTTAGGTTTTCAAATCTTAGGACACAGTAGTATTTAAAAGCACTACATGTAATTAACAGTGTTGCGAACATAGGAGTATGGTCTGGTGTATGTAATAGGATGACTGCTGGAGTGGCTCTCCTGCTAAACCTCCCCAGCTCATGGGCATCCTCTGGAGTTTTTATCAATTCCCAAACAAAATGAATGAAATTAGCAAAATTATTTCTCTCATGTTCCACCCTAGCCTAGATGGGTATATGGTAATGTTTGGATTTGAAGTATTTTTGCTGGCTTTACTTTTTTTTTTTTCCCCCTCCTGATTTTTTTTAAAATCACTCTTGTAAATGACTCTTCTATACCAACATAGGTTTCTAACAGAGAACTCATTTTGTCTTTTTAGTGTAGTCTGGGTAAAGTAAAAGTTCTTATTCTTTATACATGTATATATGTGTACATATGTATTTAAAAAAGGAAAACCTTTGAAGTTACAACTGCTGATGTTTAAGTGTAAATTTACTTTTATAAATCATATTTTAGTCCTATTTAACACCGTAGGAGTTTAGGAATATTTTTTACTTTTTTGTAAAGCATATGTGAAAAGTGGTCTTTTTTAGAACAGTTCATGTTTTGAGAAAGTCTCTGCTGCTCCGAGTGTGGGTCTGTTATTTCCAATCTTTGCAAAGGAGTGAACACTAATGTTTTTAGCATGGAAAACACTTGTTTTAATTACTTTTGTTCTCAACTGAATGGGGCAAAAGATAATATTTTCTTCACTTGAACTTGCTCATTTGAAGCTAAGAACTTGACTGGAAAACATATGGTTTTCCTTTTCCAATGAATGATTAAAAATTGTGACGATGTGCCAAGTACATTATTTGTTCCACTTGACATCTACGTGTTGAAGAGTAGATATTCAGAAAAGAAAATAACATGCCTCTTGGTGTGATGTTGGCAAAAGTGGGGTTTTTTTTGGCAGGGGCAGGAGTGTGAAGGTAGTCTATTTAATAAAGGCTACAGATAGAACATGGAACTTATTGTAACTTTTGAAGTACTTGCTTAGACTATGTAATTTGGAACACTTATATCCTTAGTAAACACTTGGAAATTTCACGACCTGCAAATGCTTTTGAATAGTTTATGAGTTGCTGTATCAATAATTTAAATGTATAGGAGAGGAAGAAGAATGCATTTGTTATTTTAAGATTAATCTTCTTCAATTTTGCCAATTTAAGCAGAGGAATTTACTGGAAAATGTTTTCATCCAATTTTATTTCATTCGGCTATCAGATGAGTTACACTAGATACCTATGTTCTCATGAATGTTTGCTTTGCCTATTTCAGTGATCGCTGTGGAGAAGACCCAAACCAGAAAGTAATCCATGGGGTTATTAACTCCTTTGTTCATGTTGAACAGTATAAGAAAAAATTCCCCCTAAAGGTAGATACACATTTCTGATTTATGTTTTTAATTTTGAATGTTAATCTAGTATATGCACTATTTGTCCTTTAAAAAAAAATTCTCCCTTTCAGTTTTATCAGGAAATTTTTGAGTGTCCTTTTCTGAATGAAACAGGGGAGTATTATAAACAGGAAGCTTCAAATTTATTGCAAGAGTCAAATTGCTCACAATACATGGAGAAGGTAAGAGATTCTTCCATACACATGCAATAACTAAAATCTAATATTATCAATTTACTGATGATACATGTTTTCCTGTACAGTTCCTGTAGTTGTTCTTTGTTGGATGCTTTCCTGCAGTTTAAACTATGCATTTTGATGGCATGGTTAATCTGAATATAAACTACAAACCTTGCCTATGGATGGACTGTCAGCTTCAAAATGATAAGTCAATTGCATGAAAAGTTTAAAAAAAAAAAAACCAACCCCCCCCAACTTCCTCACTTCCTTATTTTCCTTCTATTTGTAGTAGCATAAGATGAGAGTTTTAGCAATATAATGGTTAGAGAAGACTATATGGTAGAATTGTTACAGAGCATTATTAAAAATTACATACTCTGAGGTGGACTTTCTTTAGTTTTGCTTGTGGTGTATGAAGTCAGGTTGTGGGTAGATTACTTGTAATTCTTATACCTTGCTTGGGAAATCAAAGATTAATACAAGACTAGGAGTCAGTCCTTGGTGCCATACTGTCCACACTAACAAGATAGAAGAGTTGAGGAGAAGGTTGTGAGATTGCTTTTAACCATAAGGAGCATAAGTTAATGGTTGCATACCTGAGGTGAAATTCAGGAATAGGCTAAGACTTCAATTAAACCAAAAGAAATGCAGATTCATTTTGTCTATCATTACCAGTCTTCAGCTGCACTACTCTCCCTAGGCTCCCTTGCTGGATATAAGTACTTCTGTGTCAGTATTCATATGACTTAGAATCACAGAATGCTTTGGGTTGGAAGGGACCTTTAGAGGTCATCTAGCCCAACCCCCCTGCAGTGAGCAGGGACATCTTCAACCAGATCAGGGTGCTCAGAGCCCCGTCCAACCTGACCTTGAGTGTTGCCAGGGATGGGGCATCTACCACCAATCTGGGCAACCTGTGCCAGTGTTTCACCACCCTCATTGTAGAAAATTCTTTCCCTCAATCTAGTCTAAATCTACCCTCTTTTAGTTTAAAACCATTACCCCTTGTCCTATTGCAACAGGCCCTGCTAAAAAGTTTGTCCCCACCTTTCTTTTGTCCCCTTTAAGTACTGAAAGGCCACAATAAGGTCTCCCTGGAGCCTTTTCTTCTCCAGGCTGAACAACCCCAACTCTCTCAGCCTTTCTTCACAGGAGAGGTGTTCCATCCCTCGGATCATTTTTGTGGCCCTCCTCTGGACCCGCTCCAGCAGGTCCATGTCCTTCTTGTGCTGAGGGCCCCAGAGCTGGACGCAGTGCTGCAGGTGGGGTCTCACCAGAGCAGAGCAGAGGGGCAGAATCCCCTCCCTCGACCTGCTGGCCACGCTGCTTTTGACGCAGCCCAGGACATGGTTGGCTTTCTGGGCTGCAAGTGTACATTGCTGGCTCATGTCCATGACTTGTTTTATGATAATACCTATTTCCTTCATTGAAGTTATAGAGAGAGTTTTTATTAATAGCTCAGATGTATACCCTTTGAGCAGATGTTTAGGTACAAGCAGATGGCTTTGGAACAGAAAAGTGATTCTTACATAATTAGGTACTGTGGTAAAACTTTCTCAGAAGGAATAAGAAGTGTGGTAGGAGAAATTAGGGAAGACTGGTCACAAAGTTGAAGAAGAAATTTTGAGAAGAGAATTATTGAGTGCTATCAGACGTCTAGTAGTGACTGAGCCTAGTCAGTACTCAGAGTAGAAGATTCTATTAGCTTAGTAATAGCCTGATTCAAAAGAGCAAATTTAATTTTTCAGCATCCCAAACAAGTTCTTTTTTAACTTTGTTACTTATTTGTGTGTCTCATTCTGCATACATATACTGTTGTATATTCTTGGTTCTGTATTGGTTGTTAGTATATCATCAGCTCTTAGTTTAAAAACTTGTCCGTAGGTTTTAGGTAGATTAAAAGATGAAGAAATGCGGTGTCGGAAGTACTTGCATCCCAGCTCATATGGCAAAGTGATTCATGAATGCCAACAGAGAATGGTAGCGGATCACTTGCAGTTTCTACATGCAGAATGTCACAATATTATCAGACAAGAGAAAAGAAGTGGTAAGTCTCAATGGTCACAAAAAGCATGTGTTTTATTTTTTTGTTTTGTTTTATTCATTTAGCATTGCAATTTACTATCTTTATTCAGTGACCTCTGTGCACTTAAGCATTTTCAACTAATATATGTTACTTATCTAGAAAGCCCAATTAAACCCTGAATGACATTTTTCTTTTACCATGTAATTCATTATCATTCTTCCAAATATATAGTCAAACCCTTCTTTTTACTGTTAACAACCCTTCTCTCAGCCAATACTCTTTCTCTTTCCTTGTCTTAGTCGGCTTAAAAACACACTGAAGTCCTGTGTCCTGTAGAATTGATCATATTTTATGCTTGTGTTTTCATTTGTAAACCAATGGCTCTGTCTTTACAGATTTCTTCATCATCATTTGACAGGTCAGGATTATAAAATATTTTGGCTTCTTTTCATAGCCACTTTTTATTGTCCTGAATCTTTTGTGATCTCTATTTCCAAATCCTTTTTACAGAAGCAGATGCTCTTATAGTTATATTCCCTGCCTGATTAAAAAAATTATGCTTCCTGATGACTACATGCCTCCTACCCTTGAAAGAATGCTTCTTTTTGCATGGAAGATGATATCTATTATGTGAAACAAATTATTTTTGCAGTCGAACTCAAATCATATCTAATAATAGTGTTGAGTTTCCAGAGAGTTTTGCAAAATTGATCAGCGCTTGGATCCATTTTTGGGGAGAAAAAAAAAAATCATAAAAATAGCAGTTGCTTATTTACAGCCTGAGAAAAATTTCAAGCCACCACTGGAGGAAAACAAAAAGTCAAGAAGATATTTAAACTGATTTTAGTCAGCTGCTGCTAAGGGAGATTTAGGGAGGACAAGGATTAAAACAAACTGACAGTAGTTTTCCATACTAGCCCACCTCTCCTCTTGGAGTCTCTCCTAAATAAGCAGTATTGGAAGAGTGAGATAGTCACAATGGCAGTACTCAGTAAACACCGATACTAGCCCTACTCTTTCCTTTTTTTCTTTTGTCAGTGACCCAGTGTATGTTAATTTTTTTTTTTTCAGAACAGTTGGTCTTGTTTCAGTCTTTGAAAAGCTCTGTGTGAAATTATGATACTATATTAAGTGTTGATTTTTAGTGTTTCTAAGCATATTCTATAAAAATGTATCTCTGTTACAGACATGGCAAATATGTATACTCTACTTCGTGCTGTGTCAAGTGGTTTACCTCATATGATTCAGGAACTACAAAACCATATCCATGATGAGGGCCTTAGAGCAACCAGCAATCTTTCTCAGGAAAATGTGAGTTTTCTTAGGCGGCTGAAATTACCTATTTGATTAACATTCCTGATGAAGTGTTTACCCTTTTCTTTTTAGTCTATTCTGTTTTTTTAATTCTGTCTATATGAAATTGGTTTGGAACATTACAGATAAATTGTAACTTCTGATCAGCACGCTTAGCTGTGCAACACATATCTATCCTGAGAGTTGATTGTTGTGATCTAACCAGAAACAACTACAGCTAGATATTTCTCATTGTTGTTTGTTTAATGCTGTCATGGCAAGTAGGTCCTTTTGTTCCGTGTATGTATTTTTTTTCCCTGAATTACTCTAAGTCGGTGACATTTGCTGTTCTGGTGTGTTGGGAACCAATGATTCCATTTAGTTTAATTATATGTTATTTGTGAAGACTTGACATCCTGTCCTGATTTCAGTGTGGTATTTTTCACTAATAGCTTTGTAGTCTCATATTTTCATGTAATTTCTGAAAATACTGTAGCATAATTATTTTACTAAAGTTTGTTAAACTTTTTTCAGTTCATGTGTAATTAAATTACCCAATTTCATTTTTGTTCCTCTAGCATTGCTGTTGAGAAACAAACAAGCTGTCATTCGGCATTATATCTGTACATGTATACATCTTGCTGTCTAGATCTGTGCTCACTTTAGGATGGTGACTTTAGCCATCCAGTGTTTCTGTCTATAATAATACATAGATAGGAACTGTTGTAAATTCACTCTTCCGTTGACTGCACAGGACGGCTTACTCTTCCGTAACTCCTGTGTGCATACTGAAAATGGGCTGAAGTCTTTGGTAGTGTAGTTTGCTTTCAAATTATTTGTAAGTTTTCTGAGCTTATTATTTCAAACTAATAGTGTCTGCACAGGGAAATGAATGCAGAGCCATGAGGATGATGAAAATTTACAGCCTTATGTAGATAAACTCAAAGTGTGAAATGCTTGCCCCACTGTGTGGTTTAAGTAATTTCTCATCAAAACATTTTTAATGTGTGACCTGAGAATGCACTTGGGGAGCCATGTGATGCAGCCAGTGCATTGCACACTCTTGCATTGCTGCCTGCCAGCTTGTCTGCGTAGGGACTCCTCTAATTCATATTAGTCACTTCTATACAAAATGTTATGCTGACATGTGGTGCACTAAATTTCATTCGTAACTGTCCTACATAGGAAAATTAAAAGGGTTCATCCAGATTTTCTGTCTCTGAAGTCAGTGTGCAGGAGAAGCAGCAGTTTACTTATTTCAGTAGCTTTTTGGCTTGATTTTGCTGTATTTACATGTTAGCATTAATGATTTTTGAAAGGGCTAATAAAGGATTTCAGGGTATGATGGAAAAGATTAGAGCATGAGAGCAGTATAGACTAAAATCTGTGTTTGATAGCAGGACTGTAAATGCAGCTGTAGACATTTTATTTACAAAACATGCTCAAGCTCAGTAGTGTAAGAGTACAACAATGCAGAATCAATCCTCTCAAGGACTTAATCACTATGATTTTAACTTATCAAAAATAATAATTAGGAAAAAATGTACAGCTAATGTAGATAAGTTTGTGTGTAGATAATCTTACTTTTCTCAATAACTTGCTTTCTGTTTTATCTACCTTTTTTAGATGCCAACTCAGTTTGTGGAGTCAGTTTTGGAAGTACATAGTAAATTTGTTCAACTCATCAACACAGTTCTGAATGGTGATCAACACTTTATGAGTGCCCTTGACAAGGTAACTTTTACTTTTGAAGTAAAAAAACCATTGAAAAACAAAATGCGGGACCCTGTTTCAGGCTCACCAAAATTCTTCAGGGCATCAACACATGTTCAAAGATAGTAGTTTAGCAATGCAATGGAACAAAAGACAAGCTAGTGTTAGGGGAAAAGATAAGTACAAAGGAAACCACTTTAAATGTTTTCTGAAAGAAGGACCTTTCTTTTCATCGTAATTGAAAACACAGAAATGAAGCTGACCCACTTAATGTAATTTAAGTGCAGATAATAAGACGACAAATGGTGGGTTTTGGGAAGTTTGGCAACTCTTACAGGCATTTGAATTAAACTTGCTTGCTGCCATAATGTTTAAACTCTGAATGCTGATAGTATTACTTACATAGAAGCTTTGTTTAGATTTTTCAAGTTGACTGCAAAGAATATCTGGAAACTTACATTACTTCAACCACTGTCACAATAACTAACTTCTTCCAGGAGAGAACTGTACTTGAACTTAAATAAGCCTGTTTAAAAAAAACTCTTTTCTTTTAAATGCATAGCCATGAAGGTATTTAAGATAACAGTTCTAATGGTTATAAATTATTATTATTGTTGTTGTTGTTGTTATGATTATTGTTAATTATATTCAGCAAAATGTGCCTGGGCTCTTGAGGGATTGAGTGGTTCCTCCTCAAAAAAAGAAGTAAATTTTATCTAATCAATTGGTTAATTTCCCACTCATTTCCATATATTCTTGTATCTTTTTCCTAGAGAGTGCACTTACTACTTTCCTGTCTATAATTTCCTGTCATAGGATGCATGCATACATTTCATTGCTCATTTGTGGTGTTTACAGGACTTGTAGTTTGTAGTTAGGGTCATAGTCTAAGCTTTGATAATTTTCAGCCAAGGTTAATTGGAAAGACACAGCGATGAAGATACCAGTAATAATATCAATAGTAGTTACCCATCTGTATTTGTGATATTGAGAAATTAATTATTTAGTATTTTAAAACAAATGCTTATTTCAGTATCCTAATACGTTTCTGTCTCAATTGCAATTAATGCCATGTACCAGCAGGTGGAGTAATATGAGATTGACAGCCATGTTTGCTGGCACATAGGCAATGTACTTTTTCCTAAATACATCAATTCTTCTTTATTACAATAAATATTTAAAATCTTAATCTGCTGTCAGTTTTTCATGGTGGCTATCAAAACTGCTATTGTTGCCTCCAGTATTGTTGCAAAAGAGTGCTCTTGACGAGAAATATGAAACTCTGAAGTTAAGCCATGCATTCCTTTCTCAGGAGGATTCTAGGGACCTATTATCAAATATTGGAATGTCAAGGCATTGCACAACAGAGTTGCTTGTCAGTTCTTCTTTATAATAATAACAAAAATAATGTTTTCCTTCCATAGAAGGAACTATAATTAATTGGAACTATGGTCATGCAATATTTTTGGTTTGGTATTAGTTTAAAATGTTAATTTAAATGTGATGTAATTCAGAATCTGATCTTGATGATTCTGATATCTTTGTTTACATTTCCCAATTCTAAACTGTCATTATCTCCTTCCTTTTCTTTTTCCTCATATTCAGGTTTTCTTCAGCTACCACATTTTTCGTACTGCACTGCTTCAAATTTACACTTTCAACAATATCTTTTTCTTCTCTTTAGTCCATCAAAAAATCCAACAACCAAAAGATCTTTCCTTTCTTACTGTTGTGAGCACCCCCACATATGTTTTTTCAGTTCAAGATACATGCTGTTGATGTAGGCTACTGTTGATGTGCTGCTGCTCAAATCTGCTTTATCTGCAGTTATTCCTCAGTTTCTTTCCATCCATAGTTTTGGACCATACATATTGCTGTATAAAAAAATTTTCATACTTTTACATTTCAGTTTCTGACCAGAACATAAGTTCTTCTCCTGCTATCTGCAATTAACTTCTGTTCCTCTACTCTTTCCACTTTTACTTAAATCTCAACTTAAAAATGTTCAACACACAAATTCTCACAGAGCAGCAATTCAAACCCTTTTATTCATTGCTTCTTTTTTGGTCCCCTTTTGTGTAGTTCAGTTTCATAGGATCTCGGATGGTCTTTGCCCTGAACAGTTTTTTTTATTTATTCAAATTTTGTGAAATAAAAAGTTTTAAGTAATTTACATTTTTCTCTTTGCTCTATGTTCCTATGTAGGCTTTGACATCAGTAGTTAACTATAGGGAGCCCAAGTCAATCTGCAAAGCACCTGAGTTGGTAAGTGATATATATTATTGTAGAACATAATCATACTTTTTTATAACTGTCAAATGGATTGGCATAGGGTCCATCACATGAATATCCATTTCTCACACTAAGTCAGCCTTAGGTGTGTGTTTCAGGAGTAATAAATGACTTAACCTGCACACACATTTTGTGGGCATGCAAAATTGGTGCAGTTGTAACTTTTGATACAGAATTTGTATTTTCTGTGGATGTAGTATGTATCATTTGCCAATGAATACAGCCCTTGTAATAGAACAGGAGACTATAAACTCTGACTTATTTCATGCTTTAACTTTTGTGTAGAAGTTTGGAATACCTTGGCATATGTTTGTTCTCAAGCTTGACAAGTAGGTTTGGGTTTGTTTTTTCTTTTTTTAACTTGAGCTGGCCAAGTACTGTGACAACTTGTTGAAGAAATCAGCAAAAGGAATGACAGAGAATGAAGTAGAAGACAAACTTACAAGTTTCATTACTGTTTTCAAATACATTGATGACAAAGATGTATTCCAAAAGGTAACTTTTGATATTCATAAATGTTAAAATGTTGCATTTAAAGTATACTTGAAGGATGCGGTTATGCTTTTAAAAATCCTCATATCTGATTTTTTTTATGCAGTTCTATGCCAGAATGTTGGCAAAAAGATTAATTCATGGTTTGTCTATGTCTATGGATTCTGAAGAAGCCATGATTAATAAACTAAAGGTAATGTAATATTCTTCTAATGCAGAATAAACAAACACAGGAGTATGTAATGTTGAGAAGGAGCAGCAGAGGGTGCCAGAGATAACTTAGCGATCAGTAGAACCTGTTTCCAATAGCTGAAAGGAAAAACTTATTTCTTGGGTAGTCTGTGAAAGACAGATGGCCCAGTATCACTTAGGCAGTTGAGATTTTTGGGTAGTTTTATTAAGTGTGTTCAAATGATTCCTATTCAAATTATAAAAGTACCAAGGACTTTCATAAACCAGCTCTATCTTTCAATTTTATACAATAACATTGTTCATATAAATCAATGTATAGAAAGTGAAGCTAAGATAAATCTGATAATTTTCTTTTATAATGTTTGTTTTCTGTTGTAATTGGTGTTCTCCGTAAATATTATACCAACTCTTTTGCTGACTAGATTTTCATATTTTAGTAGTGAATGTGCATAGTTTATATAATAAGTACTGTTCTCACTGTGAAACCTGTTACAATATTTCTTCACAGCAAGCCTGTGGTTATGAATTTACCAGCAAGCTCCATCGAATGTATACAGACATGAGTGTTAGTGCTGATCTCAACAATAAATTCAACAACTTTATCAAAAACCAGGACACAATTATAGATTTGGGGATTAGTTTTCAAATATATGTTCTACAGGTACTAATGCATGTTTATTACTATTGAGTTATTTGTACTTAATTTTTATGTTTTGATAACAAGTGAACAATTTTTCTAATTATGAATGCTTCTCATATGGAACCTGACACCTTGTGATCATTGTGGAATAATTTATTTTCCTAGTTTTCCTTTTTAAAAGTAACCCACTAACACACAAAAAAATAGTGATGTAAAATGCCTTGTGTTCTTGTCTCAAATAAATACCTCAGTGGCGCATGCATAGTGAGTAGTAAAAAATAAGCAGTAAAACTTCTGGTCTAAATTGAATGTCTTATGGCATAATATACACTATAGATCTGTTTAATAGTGGTTTTTTTTATGTGTGTATATATATAGTATGAAAATGTTAATGTTTTTGTTTTTCCTGATACCTTTAGGCTGGTGCATGGCCTCTAACTCAGGCTCCTTCTTCTACATTTGCAATTCCTCAGGAACTGGAAAAAAGTGTACAGATGGTAGGTTAGTAGGAGGCTTCTTGTAAACATGTGGAAAATGTAAAATAACTCCAAATAAAAGATGATCACTCTAACAGAGAAAAACCTGAGCTGCTTCATTTTGTTTGTTGATCTTTGCTAAAGTGTATTTAATGGCAAAGTACATTTTAGGCAGTAAATATTTGATATTATTGGACGTAACAGATTTTTTTTAAGCATTTTTTTAATCTGAATTATAATGGTAAATGTCTGTTTCTGTGGTGCAGGAGCTTTTTCATGTAGTAAGAACTATCTATTCTGCTTTTATTTCTGCTGTATTAAGTGGCACATGGTTTTAGCAATATGATAGTTTCCAGCCCATACTATGGGATCCACAGAAAGTGACTGATGACATTTTGCTGTTCTTTGTGAGTTTAAAATAGGAGTATTGTCAGTCGTGCCTCAGTTGGCAAATTGTTACGGACTTGCGTATCAGAAGTAGCTCAGAGCCTGGGTTGCTTACCTAACTTCACTGTTTTGCCAGTTCAAAGGAGCAAACTTATTAATTTGTCACCTAGCTAGAATTAATGCTCTAAATTATACTTATAATCCCCTGAGGAAACAGAACATGATCAATAAATGGATTTCTGATTTGATTTTAAGTAGGGTATCAAAGCCATGGAATATAGAATGATTTCACCAGTGTGAAAAAATAAGAATACACTTGTTTTTCTATGGAATTGGAAGGAACAGAGTAATAAAACCTAATAAGATTGATTGCTAGAAAACCTCCTAGAAATTCTTTTAAATTCAGTAGAGTTGATACTTCTTTGGAACACTGTTTAACTACACTATTTTATGCTTTGAGAATATGAATGTGCCAACAATCTTTTCAATTTAGTCATCAAGTGATATGTTAAAATGCTTAAGTAGTTCAGTAAATGACTGATATTCAGTCCATCACCCATCTTCTAAAGGAAAATGTTGTCATGAATTGATCTGCAATGTTTGCATCCAATATGGTGAACATAAACCCAGTATTTCTTCACTGGGGTGGTAGTGTGATAATAAACTATTGTAAGTAGTTATATGTGTGTCTAATTGAAGTTCATTTTGTTTTGCAGTTTGAATTATTTTACAGTCAGCATTTTAGTGGAAGGAAGCTTACTTGGTTACATTATCTTTGTACAGGTAAAAATAAGTGCTTAGCTAAACTTAAGCTCTATACAACTGAAAATTACTTTTTAGAAGTCCTTTTCAAATGGCAACAGACTTTGGAGTTGGAACATTATGTTGCATATAAAGTCAACTGACTTATTTGGCATTATAATCTAATTTAATATTTGCTGCTTAGTATTTCCAAAATTTGTGTTTTGAAAATTTGCATATGTTACTGTGATTTATTAAATCCAAGTAAAATTAGAGTTGTACATTCTTAACTACAAAACAGCACTGCAGAACTGATGAGTTAATAAAAATTACACTGGAATTTTTTCTGTAGTATCAGATGTCCCTTAGCTGAATATTAAATAATTTTAAGAATGCCTGTTATACTATTTTACTCAGATATATAAGTATCTAAGTAAATACATACATATGTATATTTACTTTTGTTTATATCTACTATATAGAAATATATGTTAAAAAACATTTTAGAAGAGATATATAAAATTGTAGCGTAGTTTAGTAAGTATCAGTCAATCATATTTTAAGTGCTTTCAGTATTGGGCTTTAATGACTGAGCACTACAACATGTTACATGGAGGTGAAAACCAGACTAGCATACAATATAATCTAATGAAAATTTAGTTCTGATAATGGACGGTTGCCATTAACTGACAGTCACCTTCACACAGAAAATCTGAATCTGCTTTCAGGCAGATATCTTAAGTGCTTTTTTTTCTTTTCTTTTCTTTTCTTTTTTTTTTCATTTCAGGGGAATTTAAAGCATAGAAGAATATTGTCAAAAATTTTACTGGATAAGTCTTCTATTTTATTTTTAAAAATCTTTCCTTGGAACAACTTTCCTGTAATCACTATTCTGTGATTCTCTGTAAGCTATTACTAATTGAAGTTCATGCATTACAATGCATTAAGGCTATTTGGAATTTCCTTTTTTTATTACTATAAATTATATTGCATTATTCAAATTCAACACTGTAGGTTTCCTTTTTTCTTGAAAACCCTACCCAGTTTTCAGAGTTATTTTTGTTGCAGACCACATTCTATATGTGTAGATTCACAACATCAGTTTTCATCTTCCCATTCCAGGTGCTAAATGCATACTTAGGTGTGAATTGAATGTCTGGAAATGTATGAGGAGCTCTAGTAGTTAGGCTTCAGATGACTTTTCAGCACATTCCATCAGTTTATAAATACTACTTGTATCATTGCAGGTGAAGTAAAAATGAATTATTTGTGCAAACCTTATGTAGCCATGGTCACAACATACCAAATGGCAGTGTTGCTTGCCTTCAACAACAGTGAAACTGTCAGTTACAAGGAGCTTCAGGATAGTACACAAATGAATGAGAAGGAACTGACAAAAACCATCAAATCCTTACTTGATGTCAAAATGATCAACCATGACTCAGACAAGGTATGCAGTAATGATATTAAAAAGTTTCATGTTTTCAGTCTTGTGATTCTGCTACTTTTTGAGGGCTTTTTTTTAAGACAGAAGAATCCACTGTTTGCTTTTTTTTCCTAAACTGTATTATTGACCCTTGTGAACAATTATAAGTCCGTATTTATAAGGAAGGCAACAGGAGGAAGTAGACTATCTTTGTTTGCTCTGTGTGCCTATAACAGCATGGTATGCTGAGAAGGTAATAATGCTAGGACTCTTTATTGTTTCTGTTGCATTTCAGCCATATAGCTTTAGACTCACTGCTGTTGGAGGGAAATAGTCTTTGAATACGCCACTTTCAAAGTTGTACTGAATCATGAGAAGGAGACCGAGTAGTAAACCAGAGAGTCTTAGAGAGATCCTGAAAAACAAAAATTTGTGGGATTAAGAGACAGAAAGTAACAGCAACCATCTTCCCCCTTGCTGACACATTACAGGAGGAGGAGGGAGGAGGAACGGGAGCAAGGCGGGCTTGTGTGAGAGGATTTTTGCTGCAATTTGCCAAACTATCATTGCATGAGTTTCATGGAATTCCAGTAATATCTGAGCTTTGTTTGTGGTTAAGGCAATGGTTGATACAGGTTCTGTTTCTGACTCTTCCTCATACTTCTGTATGACCTACGTGAAACCAGTTATCCTTTTTCCCATACAGCGAAGGGCACAGATGTCTGTTAAGACAGACTACGAAGTGCCTGTGCATACCTTCAGCATGTGCTTCCAGCTAGCCCAGAAAGCCCAAGTTATTCAGACAGTATCAGGCAGAAGAAACTGAGATAAGCTGTGCACTTCACTTAGGAGAAGAAATCCAAAGCTGCTCTGATAGCTGCTATTTTTTTTTAACCAGGAAAATATTAGAAAATGGAAAGTGAGATCACAAGGAAGATCTGATGCTTGGCTGAAGCATAGGACATGCTTCCAATATCTAGAAATGAGCTCAGGTTGGAACAGTGGCTGGGAAGATGTCTGTGAAACCCTGGGGGAAATATAACACTGGGAGCTATTACAGAAAACAGTGAGATTTTTCATAATCTTAGAAAGTTGCCCATTATTTAAAGGTTTTACATTTACTTATATCTGTCATGTAAGGTTTGGCCAGTTTCTTTAAGCATGTCATTGAAGAGTGAATGGTTAGCTTTTGAACCCTTTTACCTTTTAATGTTTACCACCGCATTTTCTGGTTCTTTAACTTGCAGGCTATTATATTCAAACATCTCTGCTAATTCCTGTTTTCCTTGCACTCCATCCAGCAATGTGAAAGCTGATCTGCAGACAGTCTATCAGCTTACTTATTCAATACGACAGTGAACTTTAGTGGCTTAAGCAGTGAAATTAAATATGCTAACTTCTCTTTACCTGTGTCTGAGCACAGAAAAGTGCAGTGTATTAAATGTTGTAGTTCGCTTTTGTTTGATTGGGTTTTTTTGAAAGAGAGGGGGGAAAAAAAAAAAAAGAAACTTTTGGCAAAATCTTTGTTGGTTCATTAGAATCATGCTTTTCGAGTTAATGCACAACACATAATTTATTTTGGTTTATAGGCAACCAGTAGTGCTAAAATTTAATGTTAGCTTATATTTCTTAAGGCTGTTGATATTTGCCCTTTCATGTTAAATTTTCTATACCATGCCTGGTTATTATAAAATATTATAATAAAGAATATTTGTTGCAGAATATAAAATTAGAATTAATATTGTTATTAGAATTAATATTGTTTTGAGTATATATTTAGATAAATATTGACTGTGTTTGCAAAAGTATTTGCGCTTGAGGCAACTATGGTTTGGCAAGATTCCAAAGTATAAGAAGCCCAGTAACTTTATTCTGCTGGAAATTGGTAATACTTGTACAGACTTTTGCCTGGAAATTGTGAAGATCAGTCAGGTCATCCTGTTAGTTGAATGTAAAGGTGTTTGGACTGCAGGGAATAGTTACCATTTATTGAAGAAATGGACTTTTACATGTGTGGAAAAGGACTGAGATTCTGAGGAAAAAATTAGAAACGTACAGATAGATGTGGAACTGTAGAAGTGGCAGTTTGTCAGCTGTTTCTGATATAAAATAACAAAATGCTTAGATGTTTTTCCTTAAGTTCTGGAAGGCAACATTAGTAATAGTTGTGAAAACAACAGCCCTCTCTCTCTCTCGAGGTTCTGCCATAAATAAATGCAAATCCTACTTTCTTTGAAGGGAGAAAATTAGTTTAAATGGAGAGTGTTTGCAACTAAGATAGTTGCAACAAAGTATTAAAACAGAAATTGCTTTAATCATATTGACTTGTTAACAATATTCATGTGTGTCAGAGTTCTGTAGAGCGTTTTCTAAAATAGACTTGATTTCTAGGTTAGTTAAACCGTAGCTTAAAAAATTGACTTGGTTCAAGTGGCATTTTAGAATTTCCAACTACAAACCACTGAAATTGTTTGTATGTATGCAAGCCCCTAACTGTTATTTTTCAAAGTAAATTGTTATCATTTTCTCATTCCATTTCTGATTTTTTAAAAAGATTCTTTATTGCAGGAAGATATAGAGACAGAGTCTACGTTTTCATTAAATATGAACTTCAGCAGTAAACGAACAAAATTTAAAATTACTACATCAATGCAGAAAGACACACCACAGGCAAGTATTCTTTGTTGTTTGTAGCTTGAACAGCTTAGGAAGCTTATTTTTCTAAAAACAAATTTATTGTATAAGTTTGGTGTAAGCAGATGTAAGAGTCCCTGTGTAAGATTTACATCACTGTAAAAAAATTGTTTATATTTAAAGCTTAAGCACTGCAAATTTTTTTGTACCTAAAATACAGGCAGGAGAAGATAGAGTAGGGAATAAGAAAGAGGAAGAAAAAGACAAACAAGCACTATTCCTCTTGTACCAAATGGGATTGATGTTTAGCTTGTCTTACCTAATGAGACTTTTTTATGGGTGGTGGTTATAAAAGCAACTTACTTCAGGAACAGCAGAACAAATCTGTTTTCCTATGGTTTTGTGTCCTTCATCAACTAGAATTAACTCTGGTGTTGATAATCCATGTTCCCTATGTATCTCCTAAGACACAGGATTTTTGTACAAGAGACATACGTGTTTCCAAACTCAATGCATTATAGTAAATTCTGCCTGCCTTTTTCCCTAGCAAAAACACTGGTTTGGATGTCTCTCTTCTACTTTTCCTGC